TATACTCTGCCTAGTTTAGGATGTTATACCTTGTGCTGTTCAATATTTTTTTCTTACTGGGTAGTTAAGGTTATCACTTGTAGTCTTTTTTCTGTTTACTCTATTTCAGTTTCAGTGATCGTTGGAAAGAGTTGTGATTTTTTATTTATATATTATTGTTCTAGTAATAATTTTTTATAAAATAAAGAAGATGTTCTATAGGCTTACCATTTTTTATTTAATGTAATTTTTGAATGCAATTTATGATTATTAATTAGTGAAAATAATAGAATTATGTCTAGTTACAATTATCTTTTATAGAAAGTGTATTTCGTACATTATTTCATAGTCACTATTTGAATTCTATTCTAATGAACCTTTTAACATTTGAGATGATAAGTTTTTGTATTAACATAATTACTACTACCCATTGACTATCTACATACGTTATCTTTTATATTTTTTTTTTATAATTTTTATCATATATAAAACAAAATACTAAACTATTAAAATCAAAATAATTATAATATCTATTGCTATACTTCAAAGATAAATAAAGAAATTGTTTTAATACTATTTTGATAATATGTTTTTGCTTTTTTTTGGATTATCAGGTAGAGCAGAAATTGGAGGTTTGAATTTAGTAGATATAGGTGATATATTTACCTTAGTTTTTAATGAAACCTTCTCAGCTAATACATTTACCTTAATTTCTTTTTTATGAGGTAAGAATCAATATTTAATATAGTAAGAATTATTATTACACTAGCTAGCTATATTAAATATATACCTTTTACTATATTCTCACTTATAACCTGAATATACTCTCGAGTAATTAAATTTATAGCAATTATTACTATAATATAAGAATTTATAAAGATATTATTTCAATAAGAAGTAAGTAGTATAGAGAATAAAGTTTGTACTTGTCTTTTCTCCTTATTTTTCTGTTTTATCTCATTACTAATCTTTTCTATATTTTTTGAATTCAGAAATTTATTGACCTTCTTTTCTTCTAACGATTTGAATTCTGCCTTTATGCTATTACTATCATCTTTATCAGAATAGTTCTCAATAGATAGTAGAGTAGATATTGGGAAAGTTATTAGTAATTCTGAATAAATAAGAGATTTTGGCATAGAAATGCTGATTTGAACTAAAACATCTTTCGTAGAAAGTGCACTTGATATATTAGTAGCAATTTGGTTTTTCTTAATCTCTTTTATATCATAATTTATTTTTATAATAAGCTTAGTATTTTCTTTATTAATATATTTAAATTTTGTAACTTTAGCTTTAAGCTTATCATTTTCTCTAGTAGTCTGTTCTAGTTTTATAAATTTGACTATAAATACTACCTTCTCATTTATAAGTTTAGCATTTTCTTGTCTGAATAAATTTAGTTTATATGATATACTTGATATTGCTATAACATAATATTTTTGTTTCTGGTTCAGGCTAAAAGGCAACCCTTTTCTTTTTTCTTTTTTCATTTTTTCTTATTTTTTTTGTTTTTTCATCTTTTTATTACTTCTACGTTAGTATTTTTTCCTGTAGCAGGTTTTTACTTATGTAGATAATAGTCATAGATTATTGCCACTTAAATCTGTGCAATTTTTATTTTTAGTTCTTATTGTTATAGTTAGGTTTCTCTTTATTGTTTCTTTAAG